TTGTAGGCGTTATTTCAGTGGTTTTCACCATGGCCTCGCTATGCATGATGGTAAATCACGTCGTGACACTGCTGGGAAAAAATAGGAAGCAGTGGACACTTTAATTTTAAGAACAAACATTCCTTTGTTTAGCCAACGGAATTATTGTTTCAACGAAATATTTTTCACATCCGATGAGTTTCGTTGTAGCAGGGTCCGACTGTACACCTATTAGTTCAATGCAGAGCCTTCGAAAATATTCGATAACACCTATTAGTTCAATGCAGAGCCTTCGAAAATATTCGATAATTTAAATTCGAACACTCCAGTATTCGCTCGCAATTTCGCACAAGCCTACTTATACCCATTTTAACGTTACTTCCATGCCTCTTATAAAGGGAACAACTTTACTTTTGCGATGGCAGCGCCACATTTTTAGCTAGTGTCATATATGAGGGGCTACGCTGCACATTGAGAGCGTTTTACCTAATAGCTTTTCGCGGTATTCGTGTCCTTCTCTCTCTTTTCAAAGCCGTGAGCGCGTGCATGGTTTCACTGTGTGCCCGAGGAGGCCCCCATTTTTTTTTTTTAAATGCAGAAAACTGTGTTATCACTACTGAGGAGACGTGCATTAGGAGTTGGTGGTGTATCGTTTGATTTTAAGGACTTGTACTACTCGATGCCCTAAGACATGCTCATAAAGGTCGTCAATGAAGTGATAGGAGTGGTTGGCTTCCAAAACGCATGTGGCATGAGCGTCGTAGGATTTTTTGAGCTTTTGAGGACGTATCTACAGCCTTCGATTCTGGAATTCAAAGGTTCTCTATACCGACAAAAGCAAGGAATCAGCATTGGTAGCTGCTTGGCGCCTGTGCTAAGCGGCTTGTTAATGACGCATTTCAATCGGCGATTGCAAGAATGTACGGGTACCTAGATATGTGGATGACTACCTTGTGCTTTTCCAGGCGGAAGGCAACTCTAGTGAAACTCGCTTAAGGCAGCTTCTTCAACTGTTTGAGGAAACACTCGATGGTCTGACCCTGACTATGGAGCTGCCAAGTGAGCAACGTTTGAGGTTCCTGGCCTTAGAACTCACTTTCGCAGGGGATCACGTTTGTTGGGCCTACTCTCCCAGCTCCAGGAAGGCGCTTTTTCTATTTACGCCTGGCCACTCCAAGCTCGTCAAGCAAGGCATCCCGGTATCAGCGCTGAGGAGCGCATTGCAGCGATCTTGTCACCACAGGATACAGGACAGCTTTGGCAACCCAACTGAGAGATTGAATGATGCCAGCTTTCCCTCTTACATGCTATTTGAATTGGCGACAATGCTTCTGTGCACGAAATGCACAGCAGCTGCATAAAAAGACCACGAACAGGTGAGAAGCCTAAAGGTTGCGGTCATCGCGCATCTTCACGGCGTCTCACACCGCATGGAAAAAAAGCGGAACGCACAGATGTTCGTGTAGTATTCAGCGCCCCAAACAAGTTGGGAGCCATGTGCTGCCAAGTGAACTCTCGTGAACACAGGACTCAGATGTGCCACGTTCTTCATTAGGTGCCGAAGGAACGTTGCATATGTGATCCCTCAGACGTGCGGACTGGTGTACGTTGGCCAAACGGGGCAGCGCCTCAAGGAACGTCTAAGGGAACACAAGAATACGTTAAAGAGTGGCATGGGAAGCAACTTGGCTCTCCATTGCAGCAAGAAATGCGCGTCAGGCAATGCGCACCTGAGCTTCAGAAGACGCAAGTACTAAGAAGTTATACTAAAAGGAAATAGGAGCTGGATATATTTGAGGCGTATGCCATCAAAAAGTTGGGCAGCAGAGGCATCGCTTGAACTGACAGTTATACCACGCATATCCAACTAGCCCAACTTTCGATTCTGTTGCAGTGAACCATTTGTTGACTTGTTCTCTTTCTTCTAGTAGAATATCTCGACGATTGAAGTGATAGGCGGTTTAATTTGGTTTTTGCCTTGTTTGACAACGCGGCAGCGCTATCGTATCGCGTAATTTCTCGGCTTTATATGTGCAATGAACGCAAAAATAAAGCTTAGTTGCGAGTGCGCCTCTTTCCTGTCAATTACTTCTTACACAATTTTGTATGAGATGGTACACCCAATTATTGCAATGAAGTACCAACTAGCCTCCATAGACACCCTTGTTCAGGGTCAGATTAGGCGCCGATAGAAACTCTCGGAAACCACGGTGACAACGTTGGATCTTCAGAGGTCGACTCGTCACGCTCTTCTGTCTTGTGCAGCGAGTTCGTGGGACCGTAGCCTTCGTGATTAGCTCAGGCAACATGACGACACGTTGAATGCAATGCAATGAATCCGAAAGCAAGAAATTGCAATGCTACACAAAGTAAGGCTGGCAGCCAACTCTTTTGGATCCCATATCGCGGAACTCCTACAAATTGCTGTTGTAAGCAAATACGGCCACTCCAGGGAGAAGTGCTCTTTTCACAGACTTTTGGCGTTGATGCTTGCTGAGATAGCACGCACGCCAGCGATCGCACCCTTAAAATCAAAGTTCACCCTTGCTACTTGACACCCCCCCTCCCCCCCCCCCCACCCACATTCCAGCTTTTGTCATGCTCGTTCTAGACTGCAGGTTTTTTTCGGTTTAAGCATTCAACAGCTGTTCTAACACGCGGGGATCCTATTGTATGTGCCCTTCAAGTGAAGACGGGCTGGCTCGTTTTATCTTTCCTTCAGCAGCACACGAGCCCTTTTACTCACTTATAAAAGTTACAATGTGAGGGGGCATGTTATCAATTTGGGCAGCAGAAGATAGTGCCCTTTTCGTTTCCTTCAACCACACATTCATTCAACCCAGCGACAGCTTTCTTTTTTTTTTGTCCCTCCCTCGTTTTGCGCACCGCGTTGCAAGGAGGAGGAGGGTCTTTACGTGGCAGGGACGAAAAAGGGAGAAGCGCGACACGGGCGCATCGTGTTGCAGATCGGCATTTGAGAGAAAGCAAGTATTCCACAGCAGCCTTTTTTTTCCCTTTTCATTTTCTTTGCGCGCAGCATTGAAGTGTCGCAGGTGCCGCCGCGGGATTGGGCAGGGGGCTGAGAGCATTTTCGGAGCGCGGTATGTTCCAATTAACCGTCGCAAGTTCTTGCGCATTCGAATTACGGGGCGTTTTCGCCTATTGGTATACACATAGCTTTGACGGGACCTCATCGTGAGTTCGAAGTAACCAGAAGTTCGAATTAAGCGTGTTCGAATTAATGAGATTCGACTGTATCCAGATTCAATTGTACCGTATTTACTCCCGTAATCCTCGCACTCGCATAATTCTTGCACCCCCCACATCGCACAACAAAAATACGATTTCTTTTTTTCCTCGAGTAATTATCGCACCCCCGAAAACTGCCGCAATAATGTTGTCTGCTCGTTCCAGCCACTGATAATGATAGGGTGGGTCATCTGGCGCCATCTCTCAAGGATCAAGCGTACTATTACTGCATAGCGATTCAATCTCATCCAAGCCAAGCCGAAGTAGCAAGTGCGCGTTGCGGCGTGTTTTGTATGTTGTGTCGGTAATCTTGTCAGGTTATGGGGCGATACTGAAGCTACACGGCTGCTTTGAAGTTGAAATTGATAGATCATGCACTAAACAACGGCAACAGGGCCACCCGTAGGCCCTTCGGAGTTGACGAGTTTTGTGTTCGCTACTGGTGATGGCAGTTGAAAGTTACCATGATGCGTTGGGCCTGCTGTGTGCCTAAAACTGGGATTGGTCGTAAATTTAATTATTCAGAAGAAAACTGCAGACGTTCTGTTAAATAGCCATCAGCCCAATACTGACGTCCTACGCTGAATGCTACCGCTATGCCCGCAAGCTTTGTGTATGGTATTCCAATTCTCGACTATTTGCTTGCACTTTTAGTGTCTCAAATAAATCTTGCCTTGTGTTGAACTAGTGCTTTTAATGTTGAGGTAAGTTTAATTAGTACTTATCAAAGCTTGCTGTTAGTTGCTGGTGTGAGAATCTCGATATGCGGCCACTTCATTTTTTTTTTTTCTCTGTACGTTTTCGTCAAAAGTTTTCCCTGCGTAATTCTCGCACCCCCCAGCTTTTCATCGGTTATCCGCCAAAAAAAGTGCGAGGGTTATGCGAGTAAATACGGTATATACAAAAGGCCCATTGAGGACAAAATAGCCATGTTGACTTTCAAATAAGACGAGGGTGGGTGGTTCTGACTTGGTGCCGAGGGCCGCGGTTTGCCAACTCGTGCTCTAGACCAACGATGTTGTATACCCAAAAGGTCATGGACACTGTTATTTGCTGATAAAGAGCATCGTGAGCAGTTTTGCTACCACAAGTGCAACAGTGCGCTGCACTCGACAGCACTACAATTATATCGGCACACGCGTCATCACCCTGAAAGTGAACCACACGTTCAAAGAAGAGAAGTGCTCAAAGCCATGATGCGCCAATTCACAGTTAAGCTTCTTGTCCCCTTGTAAACCTTCCTGTGTTGCTCTCAGCACGACTGCTACGACGAAAGGAAAGTAAGTGCCTTAGGACATGGGACAAATTCCGCTTGCACTTTTATGGACTGTACAACTTTATGGCAGATGGTTTGCGAGGCAATGAAGCCCAAAAGCGAGGTCATTCAATGATTACTTAACAAAATGTCGTAAGGCCCTAATAATACAACTAGCAAAGCATACTTCAGTAAGTGAAAAAACTAAAAAAAAATTTTAGTAGTAGTGGTCTGCTAGGACTTGAAAAAAAAAAATCCCAAGAGCAAATGAAGGCAGCTCAATGTAGTACAGAGACGTTTTCATTACAACAGTATTGTTAAATCCACAACAAGAGTCCTGAAAGCCACAAAAAAGCCCAAACCAGTTGCAGCAGAGCACTAGCAGAGTCACAAGAAAAAAAAAAAAAGTGAGTATTCATGGTGCTGTTGGTGAGTAAACAAGTTTTCAAAAGGTGAGAAGAGTGAGTGTGCAAAAGGGAGCATGCTGAAAAGCCATGTGCCATGTCCAAATACTTGCCTCCCCTTGAAGGCTCCCACGGTCCCCTCCTGAGTTCCGAGGGATACCTCGTGGCCTGCGGAAGTAGCGTCGGTAGAAAGGCCTTCGGGGCGGGGGTCCCCTCCGGGGCTGCCTAGTGGCACCACCGTTGTCATCGTCACCTGCAAGCTCGGCCCCTTCGCTATCCTCCTGGTCCTAAAAAGATGCAATCATACGGCAGACTGCTTATGGGGGACAACCCACTTAAAATATTTTTTAAAATTTATGGATGAATTTTGATCAAACTTCCATCTTTTAATGAATTTTTCATGCTTTCAAATAAACAAATACTCTTAATGTACAACATGTACTTTTCAAAATAATGCAAAATTCATAATTCATGCATTGACTAATTTGGAGGAGAGTTTTCTCTTGAATACTGGTAGTCATAAAAGACAGAGGCATATGAAAATGATGTATGGTCAGAGCTTAGAACCAAAGTTACAACATGTAAAGCTTTTTGTAAGCAAAAGCATTTACCGCATTCATCGTTTCTCGCAATCATTTGACTGCAACAGTGGTATCTGCTGTGATCTCGAGGAGCGCCAAAAGCGTGCGCAATGACGCACGCACTTCGCCAACTTGGCGGCAACATCGTACGAAGACCGTGATGACACTGTTAACATTGTAGCAAGCAGCCAACATTGCAGCAAGCTACCCCCGAAGCATGAAAACAAACCGTCGACAACAAGACTAACGACAAAATACGGCTGCCGCCTCACTTCTACACGAGAAGTTCCTCTACATGCGGATAACAAGCAAAGCGAGAATTAGGGGTGCTACGATGTTACGGAAATCGTCGCAAACTTTTCTGGACGAGAAGTGATTCAAACAAAAAGTTCGATTGCAACCGCAGCTTGTCTATGGAACACGATTGTCCTCTGGAAGGTAAACCGTGCAGCAGCTTACTTTGTAATTGGGTGTGCTGAAAAGGTTGTGGTGTCTAAGAAATGAACGTGTCTTTGCCCACTGTAATGACACTGAAGGATTTTGAGCTTGTCTGACAGAGTCAACAATGTGTTACGACATGAGTTACGACAATGTGTACGTAACTCGTTTTTGCCACTCGCACGGCCGCTTTGCCTCGGCGGCGCTGCATGCACAAGCGATGTCGTGCCGCCGTTGATGGATGGGCGATTTAGTGGCAGCTCGCACCGGCTATGCCAGTGATGCAGTGCACAAAAGTTCGTTGAATTGATTATAAAAATCAGCCTGGGTGGGCGGATCATGTTCGTTCAACTGAAAGATTCACTATTCTGAAATCATTTAACTAAAAGATTTTTACATAGAATGCATAAAAAAATCGCCTGACATCTAAAATTTCGTTATTCTAAAATATTCGTTAAACTGACATTCGTACAGGTGAGAGTTTACTGTATCACAAGATGACTTTTCATTTACTTCGTTACTGGTATTTCGTTATAAGAAGATGTGAGTGTATCGCGCTCGTATTTCAAAACAACATAAATCACTAACTTGCCCAATCAACCATTTTGACAAGTAAATGTAAGTACTAATTCTTGGTGCAGTAAGAGGCATGCACTTCAGTTTGTAGCCTCCACAGTGCTGTCACGAAAAGTTTTTGCCAAGTGGAGTACAAACCGCAGGAAAATAAAAGCAAAATGTACCGCGTCACATGCCACCTCAATGAGCTACTTTAGTTTGGGTTAGTTTGTTCACTGTAGTTGTCTTCCCGAGCCCACCAGCAACAGGGCTCAACGATGAGGTGCAGGCAGGCCAGCCGCTCCGAATGCGAGAAGAAAGTTTCGTGACACGTGCTCGCTGTGTGCTTGTTAGCTCCGATGCCTCTACACAAGCATCGTTCGTGAACCCCGCAATGGCGCATATATATTTAAGAGAGACTGGATGCTTGCCGCACACAGATAGGAAGAAAAAAAAAAAAAAAACACACACGGTGCGCGGCAGCGGGCAAGGGGAGAAGGAGCGAGCCGAGGTGGGTCGGCATAATAATAAAGAATACGAAAACGATCCAACAGACAAGGAGGCACCAGGTGTCGGTTAGCAGGACAGATACAGCAAGTGCATTTATTACGAGAGGAAAAGGAAGATCCAAATTTAGATGACTGAAGTTGGAGATACGTTCATTACGCGAGTAAATATGGTATAACTGACTAAACTAAGCATACAAGATACTTGTAAGCTTCTTGGGAGTAATTTACTGCAATGTACAACATGAAAACGGGAGAAATTGAGAGAGGGGACTGTTGCAGTGAGCAGAAGACAGCCATGACCCAGAAGCAGACATCGATGATGTTGGCTGCAATGTGAAACGTGTGGGTGTGCCTACACCCCCTGTAATGTTGTTTGCGCCGTGTGGCACACGTGTCTCGCCCCAAGGCCGCATTTCGGGTGATGACTGCCGGGCGATAGGTGGCGTATTCGCGTCGAGTACCACTGTTGGTAGAGTGGTAGCACCGGCGGTGACCCCTGGGGGAAGGCAGGCCTTGGTGGCGGGCGAGAGTTGAGCCAGTCTCTTCTGCACGTGGCAGTTGCGGCGAACGGTCGTCTCTAACGTGGATCCCTCGGCGCGTGGCACCGCAGGCCTGCGCGCCGGGGGGCCCACGTGGTATGTCAAGCCTTGGCGACACCGCCTTGGGTATGCGATTGTGTGTTTGTCGTGTTATTGTGTTTGTCATGTTTTGGAGTGCATGGAAATTCTGTGTAAGGAAGTCTTAGTCGGTTCATCATGATTGATGTATCATTTGGCGGACGATGTCGTCTAAATTACTTAAATAAATGTATGTGTATTGTTTGGTTTGTACCGACCATGTCTGCTGTGTCCGTTCACTCCAAGAGCGTGGCGTGGTGCTTGCACGCCAATTCGAGACCCCACAAACGCCAGCCGCCATATCTTACAGGAACATTAAAGTCAAGTAACAATTTATGTCGGAGTGAAAGCTCAATGTATGACAACATCTACAATGAATATATTATCAAAAACAGTGCCCTACTTACTGAGTAATTAAGGTAAATGCACACGAACACAAGCGCTGCAGCAGGACATTCTCCAAATGATCCTATAACATCAGACAGACTGCCTACAAATAATCACTAGTAATCGATCTAACTGCACTAAATAAAGAGCCTTTCGTGCATCAAGAGATGCAATAAAATGCTACTTGTTGGTTTCTGTTTAACTCGTGGAAAAAAGAACCCCCCAGACGTTGCTATGGGGAATGGCACAAGTGGTTGAGAAATTCAATTTTTGCATGGTTACAAGGGACAGGTGGTGCCATCTAGCGGGGCACAGTTGAAACAATGTTTGCAATCTAGAAGCCAATGGCGGGAAATTGATCAACGGCCGTTGCTGCTGTCGCTTCCGCTGCTTTCGGCCTCCTGCTACTAGCGCAGTAAAGCCAGGCAACGTGACGCGAGACGGTCTGGTCGGTCCGCTTGTTGAGGCAAGTAATTTGAAGTGCACTAACCCGATGTGGATTACTGAAACGCGATTTTATTTCAAAATAGGCCTTTAGTTGGCACAAAAGTAACTCTACGAGGTTTCTGGACCGCTATTTCAACAATAAACCTCGACTTATAAAGTGCCCCAAAGCTCCTTTGATAGTTTCGCGGACATTTCAAGCAAACAAGCGCATCGCGAGCAGAATGCCATCCTGATCAACGATGCCACACGCAGCAGCGCTACAGGTAGCGAGCACAGCACAATTAAAAAAAAAAAAAAAAAAAGCTCCTTTCTGGTCACGGCCATTCCCGCCACTTACATGTGTGACATCACCAGTGAAACTCGATGACGTTACCATTTTCAATGCTTGGGATTGGCCGAAAGACAACCGACGACTTCCGGTCATTCTGCAAACAGCTGGTCGTGCGCGACTTGCTGTTCTTGGTCGTGTTGCCACTTGTGAATCAACATCTGCGGCCCGTAACCCAACACAGGGCCCATAACAACACGATTCGTAGGGGCACGGGTCGGCACGACAGCGGTTAGTCAACGATCAGTGCACCCAGATGACACACAACACAGTTGACGGCGAGCTGGGTCGTCGGAGTGGCGGATCGCGACAACCGGAAGTAAAAGCTGTCTCGAACAGCGCGTGAGCGGTGACGTATGCCAAGCGAGATGAGGAGGGGCACTCGGCTGACTCAGCGAAAAGGGTGCAAGCGGTTTTGGAAGGGGGTAGTGTAGGAAAAAGAGAAAGAAGCGATTGTCGTGTTTCGATAAACGCGTGTAATTCCGCTATTACGGCACAGTTTTGAAAAATTACGTGCTACGTGTTCGTTGTAAACTCACGCACAACTTTCTCACCCTCACTAAATTTCGACCGCTGGGTGCTTTCGAAACATACTTCATTATACAAACAATATTCTTAGTTATTATTAGTGCTAAAAAGTTCATTGAGTATGAAAGATAGAATATAAAAGGTGTTTCAGTATTAAGCAAAATAAATTTCCAATCTTTGTACAACTGCCAATCTAGACGGCACTATCACAGTGTTCAATTTTCATCCCCATTGGCTCTACGGGCATGTCACTCCCTTGGACGCGCTGCCCTCTGGCCTTGGTGAACTTTGTAGTCTCTAGTTCCCCAGTCATCGCAGGTCAAAAGCTTTAGAGCAATGTCATATTCTTGGCCTTCCTATGAGATGCTGCCAGGCTTGCCCTAAACACTGTGCTTCAAGCATCACAGCTAGTTCAGAGTCTTGATTAGAAAAAAGAGAGAGAGAAAACAACTCATGTCCTGTGGCTGATGTTGACGAAAAGTCTCAAGTATCCCTCACACTACACTCGACGGCCCCTTGTTTGGTCTATAAAACCAGGGGAGTGGAGGCTGAATGCGGCCGCCACAACTGCTGTCACCTCAACTTACTCCAACATCTCAATAAAGCTGCACTCTGAAAAAAAAGAGCAAGTAAAAAGGGTGTCTTTTTGTCGCACAACAATAATCGTCATCTATATTGCGTTCGATCCTTGCGCTATCGCCACGCGCCCGGTACATTCCAGTCATGATCGACAGGCCCATTATCAGCGTTACATTGCATTCTCGATAGGAAAGTGGCCAGCGCGGAGTTTTCAAGAAAAGAAGCGCATGCAAGCCTGATGACGATTATTGTTGTGCGACAAAAAGACACCCTTTGTTTACTCGATATTTTTTTAGAGTGTGTGACTACAGCACGGCCTCATCAGCCACCCCTTCTGTCACTGCTGCAGCAGCTTGGTGGCAAAAAAGAGAATGATCTTGCAAATGAATTAATGCTTTCTAGATTGTGAGAACTCACCGACAGACCCCAAGAAAAATTTCAATCTTTGATGGTTGCAGAACTCACCCCGGTGGACTGCCTTGGGGGTGGCCTCCTGCGCTGCGCCATCCAGCGACCCCTGAAGCGCCCCCTCCTGCGGTCAGCCGCATAGGGGCTGCCTTTAACAGGCACCCCTTCTGGGCCAGTCACATTAGCCGCCTCGTTGCCCTGCAAGAACACCACTTGTTACACCTCTGCTATGCTATTCAAAGCACCAAAGAAAAACTACTGCAAATGTCTATCAATCAGTTTTGAGTACCCCCTAAGCTAGAATATGCAGCTATTGTATGGGATTCTCAAACTAAAACTAACATCAATGCACTAGAAAGGATACACCGTAAAGCAGTAGGGTAATCTTTTCTGAATACCGTTCCAGTGACTAAAAGTGTCCTAATGGCCCATCAAAACATTCAGACCTGGCAACTAAAAATTCCCAACATAACTGCAGCTAACCACGGTTGCTCAACATGCTGGCTGACAAGCACACGTCGAATTATGTTCTTTTCTTTCGCCTGTCTTTTATCGCTTGCTTGAGTCTGTAATTTTATGAAATCATTCGAAGTGGTGCGAGGAACAGTGAGAGCAACTCTATGAGAACCCTCGAATCCTTGACGTCATCGCTACTAGCGCATTGTCACTCAGGATGGTATGCGGCACACCGAACTTGTCCCAATAGTGTCCATGTCGTAGGGTGCTGAAACCCTATCGAGCTTTCTTACACGCTTTGCCCTCAAAACAAGATAACCTCTTGGCAATGGATACTACTCTATTGCTCAAAAATACTTGTATGTACACTAATTGAATGAAGGGCACATCTCGTGCTTGAAAATTTATGACAAAGATGTAGGCCCGAGCAGCCGCCATCAAGACTTACGACATGGCAAGCTGGTGTGGGCACTGGAAGGTAGTGTCGCACCACCATTATTGTAGTTCTGTGTTTCCGTACTTTATTTAAGAGTGTTATCATGGTAATAGTTGTGTTTCCCTCACTTCCAATTTATAGTTCATTAGAATAGATAAAAAAAGGCATACTAATGTTGCTCTTTGCTTAAAAGAAAATACCATTTAGAAGCAAACTAATACTAAGAACATGAAACTTGCCTTTTCACCGACGACAACATCAAACTCGACGGTCTCTCCTTCACCCACACTTCTGACAACTTTCAGAGGGTTGTTCTTTGTTATTGCAGTCTGGAAATAAAAACCACAATGCTTTCTGACTCCATATGCTTCATTGATATCCTGTGCAATACCTGCAACCAGCTGCCCATTAACAGACTTGAACGGTTGTACAAACATACCTGATGAACAAAGATGTCTTCTTTTGTGTCATTTCTGTAATGATGGCGGGAGCACGAAGGAAAAAAAAATGAGTATGAACTTCAGCCTCTGAGTAAACGTATTGCGCCTTACCTGTTTATAAATCCGTATCCATTTTTCACGTTAAACCATTTCACAGTTCCCAAAACTCTTTCAGCTGAAAAATAAAGGCAAAGCATACGCTTGATTTAGACCGCAACACGCGGCTAACAAACAATCGTTTTTTTTTTCGGCAATCCACGCTAAAAATTTACAATTATTTTTCCTAACTATCCAACGACTTGAATAGACGGCAAAGTTTTTGCCTATACAGCCGCCATGTGACAGGATGCGCAGAAGCCACGCCTTCCATGCTATGTTCGAATGCACACGAGAAAATATTTACAGCACAAGCTATCAACATCGCCGGCACCTCTGGGGCAAAGCTCAACATGCTATCTGTGCTACACAAGTGCATATAATAAAATATACCCGCTACAGGTACCACAGCACCAATTAGACATGTTACACTCGAAGTCACCAGTTCCGTCAAGTATAAAGCGCAGGCACATGAGGAGTTGCAAAATAAATCTGTAGCATTTCGGTTGGTTTGTTTCGCCAGCATTGAACTACGCCGTGGTTCGGTTCATCAACTCCACTAACTTCAACGGCAAACCATCCATTACAGCTATACACATAAGGAGAAAAAAAAAAAAAACACAGGATGGGACGCAGTACGAGGCGGGTTATTTATAAAGATTCTACGCGCAGCGTGCATCCACTAGGCCTAAAAACACACCGCAGCTAGGCTTAAGCATTCCAGGTTAGTGTGCTCGTGCCTGAAAATTTCTAGCAGTGCATGCAAGAGCTAAAGGCCAATTTAGTTACTGACAATCCGCGCAGCCGCCAACGAGTCCGCGGCGCAGCAGCATGTGTCAATCAAAAGCATGCTACCGCTAATCACGGATTTTGCGGTGTGCCAGAAGCCTTCTCAGCAAAGCGCGCATCGCGTTCGTGATGTGCAGTACATTACCGAGAACTTCCTTTTTCTTTCTTGAAACTGGTTCCTCTGAACCGATCTCCGTCTCCGCCATGATTTTAAGCGTTCCCGTCCTAGGATGTTATTCACACTGTGGTGGTAGTGATTAGAATGAAGAGGAAAAAGGCACCTAATTTCTGTCTGCCTTCAGGCGACACGGCGCAGTGCCTTATAGGGGTGGGGGGAAGGAGGGATAAAAAGAATAGAAGGAAAGTAGAAGCAGAAGAAGACAGCCAACGAGAGGAAAAGAAGGAGATAGGAAAGTGGGGATCCGGTCGAAGCAGTCCAAGGGCGGGGTGCCACAATGCGAGAGCTACACGGCGTCAGGAGACCGCGGAGGGCGAACCAGTCGGCGGGAGCTACGCTGAAGTCGGAGATCGCGAGGGCACAACCGTCCAGCTTGAAATCCTGCGAGCGAATCTTCACACTGTACCGGCCTCCTTCCGCCAGCACCGATGGAACGACTCCCGTCCTTTACTTTGTTCTCCCTCCCCAGTTCTAACCGTGCACGCTACACATAGAACGCCGGTAAGCTTCTGCATGATTGGTCCAAAGAACCATGACGTAGGGGCAAAACAGAATTACAAAAATATGCACGTTTCTCATTCGTCTGTCAGTTAGTGGCCGCATTCCCGTATCTGCCGAAACAATGAAGAAACCGAAACTGAATATTCTGAACTATTGCTCATCTCTAATACCACTAAAAACAAATAATAAAATTGCAATAAATAAAACATAACCGAATGATTTGCTTTGCAGCATGTATTGCGAAGTAAAAACATTTAGGAGTTTTGAGAGATCAACTTCGTGTCACCTTTTACACAGAGCAGTGCTTCCGAAAACGTGGAGCGAAAGTGCACTTATCCCTTTTCCACTAGCAGCCGGACGAGTCACATGTAAGTATTCAATGGGGCTTTTCTTTCGCAGCTATCCTTTTACGTAATATTTAACAGCAAACTCCCTTGGTTATCTCTGGCCTGTTGCATGCGCCCGGTTCACGCGTATGCGTATGCTGCTTGCGGTTTTGGTGCATTTTCGGGAATATACAGGTTATGTGAAATTAGGCCTAGGCCATGTCTCGCGCCATGACAACTCTTGCGCCTATTTTGGAGGTCCGGTTGTTCATCTGCTGCGCGCGTGTTTGGCAAAACGCGGCTGTGTCTTCTGTGCTACCCACCAGCATATGAATGGCAAAGTGACGGTTGTGAGTTGTGCGTCTCGGTTCCCGCCGCTTTGCTGTACGAGCAGTGGCCGTTCATTTCGCCGGCTGATCGTGTGAGACTGGCGCCGTCTTTTGTCAACGCCGCACAGACCGAGCGACGTGTGGAGGACTAAGGTTAGGCCTAATGCTGTTGAGGTTTTGCGGTCAGTTTCGTTTGTTTCCAGTATCGTCTGCGAGCCAGATAAGGCGTCGCTCGGTGGATACCTTTCATGCCACTGTTGCTGGTAGCTATTCACAGCTGAGCGGCCGCGTGGATTCCGTGTGACGGCCCTCGTGCTTGCAGCATCTGGCATCTACGCTCGCTGCAGTCTTCTTATGGGACGATCCCCCGGAAACGTTTTTGCAGTTTTTTTTTTTAACGCGACTTGAGTAGTGCATCTCCTGGCGTTGCAATGAGCCATATTTTGCCACTGACATTCACAGCAACGGCAGCAGGTGTGTGTCTTGGCGTAGTCACGGCGGTTTGGTGCCGTGGGTTGTTTCGTTAATGGTTAAGCACTTTTTGCGTCTTCTTAACTTTACACAAGTCTAGGGCGACGACCCAGTTCGACCTCGATCATTCTTATCATCGAGCAGAGCTCATTCTGTTTGGGCGCCCGAATGGTTTCTTTGGAGCTAGGTATGTCCGACGCTTATCGCCAGTTCGTGCATTTGACGATTCGTCGAGTCGGGTCTACTTTTAGACGTGCTCCGAACTTTTAGTACCGTAATAAGTTGCTGTTGCACTTAACAACTTGCTCCGGACCGTTAGTTTTTATTCTCCGCTTGAATAGTTCGTGACTTGTCCGTAAAGTTTCGTACAAGTTGTGACGCACGTGTTGTTCCCCAGGCCAACCTGCCTCGTGGCGAGGGCCCTCTACGTTGACCTCAATACCCGGTTTTACGGGTGCACCTCCCAGGCCCGTCGTATTGTCGGAGTTGTTAGTGCACGTGGCTGCATGATCGCATGGCGCCCACCCGTCGATCAACTGCACTGCCTGACTAGTTGCACAACTTACTGCATGTCCATCGTAATGGTCATAAACTTTGTTTTGAAAGCGCGTACGAGTTGCAAAGCTTGTCAGGACGATGTTACATCGTAATTAGCACTGCCCATTTCACATTCATGCACTGTGCTTCTGCAGTGGCACTGAGGGATCATCATGGATGACACAGAGCAGTACCAGGCAGCAGGGTCTGGTGCCTCCCAGACGTACCCTGTGCAGTGCTCTTCTCTTCGCAAGAACGGATTTGTCATGCTCAAGGGCAGGCCCTGCCGCATCGTCGAGATGACCACGTCCAAGACTGGGAAGCACGGTCACGCAAAGGTATCTTTGCAAGTTTAGTACTCTTATGTTTTTGAAAAAGGCTCTTCAACGCTTTCGTCATAGTCGGAAAGCACTGCGGATTACGTGGTCAGAAAACGCTGCCAAGCACTCCAGGCCCACAAGAACGTTTACGATAATCGGCAGTGCACACCGGGATAAGACAAACACAAAGAGAAATGTAAGCACCGCTTATCTAGAATATCGCCAACCAACTAGCCCACTAGTACACTTCAAGCTTGTTCATGCGTAAGCACACAAGGCCTGGGATACGCCTGCTTCCTGCCTTTCTCTTCACTACAAATGATTCAATAAACCCACGTCAATGGCCATTGGCTGATTTGAGAATCAATCGTTAATTGCATAGTTACCATGGCCGTCGTGGGATCCAGCCACATATGTGATCACATTTGCAAGTGAGCTGTGCACCTGAATAAAAGGTGAAAAAAGAAATCTCGGTCATGATGCACACTACCAAAGGGACGACACATCCTCTTTTCCCCTTTGTGATCTCTCTGTCTCGAAGTAATTTCAGCATAATGAAACAAATTCTTGTAATCTTGCTGCTCAACAGGCACAGCCGAGCCCGCTTATAACGAACCTGAGCATGACGCGGCAACCCTTCGTTATATCCCGAAGTTGGTTCTAAATGGAACACGGCTTTTAAAAAGTTGCAAGTGAAAAACCAAAGAATTCATTTTTTGGTGAAAAAGTCCATCATGCAAGTCTGTTTCGATAGCGCAGATGTGATCAGTACAGTCTAAAGTTTATGTAAGGTTGCAGCGTGTTCTTCTCTGAGGCCCTTGGCATATACAAGCTGCCTAAGGCTATCTATGTAGCCAATTGCTATAGGCACGCTCGTGGTCGCTGGCTCCAAAGTTTTGTCATCGTCGTCCGATTCCTCTGCATCGCTCTTGTCGCGCACCTCATTCACTATGCCCTCATCAGTGTCAGCATCACCATCGGCCGTAATAAAGTCATCCCAGCAGATGTCCCGATCTTCCAAGTCAGAGTCGACGAAGCGCTGCGACAAATCGGCGGATCGGTCCTCTTCGGGGGCTTCAGGCTAGGCGTCAGCATAGCCGGCCTCGCGGAAACAGGTTCACGCGCATGTAGCAGTCACCTCTGTCCACAAAGCCTTCAGCATCTCCAAAGTTGAGTACGAGGTCATCCGAAGTGGCAGGTTGGCTGCCGGGCGGTCAACAGCTATGAGCAAGCGCTCCACAATGCGGCGTCTCTAATGACTCTTAAACACCCGAATGATGCCCAAGACCAGCGGTTGCACCTTGTACGTTGTGTTGGGTGGCAGGCAAAGCAAGGCCACTGCCGTTAGCGAGGCTTGTATGTGGTGCGCGGAGCAGTTGTTGACCACGAGCAGCACATGCATGTCGTACTCAAATTCGCGCAGGCACTCTGCAAATAAATCGTGCGTCATCCATGCTTTGGCAATATATCTGTAACAAACAGGCACATATCCCCGAGAGCAACGTGGCTTCTTCGTTAGCTGATTACAAAGGGCACGCGCCGGCCGCTGTTATCCATATCTGTGCACAAAAGTGCTGTTGCTATGTTTGCTGCCAGTGCTCGTGTCTCATTTCACGGCGTGAGTTCTTTCCGGTAGCATCTGATGAAGTAGTGCAGTTGCTTCTGCGCTGTAAACTTTTCACTCCGCATAGCTGGAAATGGTGTCTAGATTAGCTTCCAGCCTCAGGACTTCTTGGTCACTAGCCGAGGCCGCCTCGCCAACTATCGATTTGAACACAATACCATGACGCACTTTAAAGTGATGTAGCCAATCGTTTCCGGGGCAGAAGTCGGGGAAGTCCAAAAGGAATGCAAAGTCTTTCGCTTTGGCCAGCATCTTAGGACCGCTTATCGGAATGTTTCGAGCCTGCACATCGACGAACCATTTCAGAAGTGCGTCCTCCATGTCCGCGTTGGTAGCCCTCCGCAAGCGCTTTCTCTCCGTCATGTTATCGGTACTGGTGATCTTTTTCTTGTTGTTCAGGAACGTCGATCTGGTTGACTTGCTCACACCGTGCTTTTTAACCAACTTGCTGTTTTTCACACCTTGAGAGGGCTCCCTTGGTAGCAATGTCCAGCGCTTTTTGCTTCGTGCCACCGTCTGCCATCGTGACCGCACGCCACCACAGAACACTAACAGCTAGTGAGCAAGAAGCGCATGTGTGATAAGACAAGCAAGCACGCGTGTAACTTCTCTGGCCTCATTTCTAGCCAGGAAAAAAAAAACTGGATGCGGCAGCATTGCAGATGTAGAATCTTGGGGAGAAAGAGGGTTAAGAATGGGGTTGTCACGAGAAGACTGGCGAAGGAGTTGCGAGGGGGGATAGTCCAGGTAGCTTGCTTGCGAGAGTAGCCTCCGTTGGCTGTTCGCTCAGTCAGCATGCACGCGGAATGAATTGCTAGTAAAGCCGGGAGGGGGGGGGGAATCGCTGGACGAAGGGGTGCATTACAAAAAAGCAGTCCAGTAGAGCGGCAACAGTCTGACAACTATACTGACCCGCAGGTCGCGGGATCGAATCCCGGCTGCATTTCCGGCGGAGGTGGAAATGTTGTAGGCCCGTACACTCAGATTTGGGTGCACGTTAAGAACCCCAGGGGGTCGAAATTTCCGGAGCCCTCCACTACAGCGTCTCTCATAATCATGGTGATTTTGGGACGTTAGACCCTGCATATCAACAGTCTGACAACTAGACTGCTTAGGAATCTATGGGCACCTCGCCAATGGTGTTCAAGTTAGTTGCGATTTTGTGTATAGAGATAATGTACATTTTCGCAGTCACGCGGGTCCAAAAAGTGCTCTTTGGGACTAAAAAGTGACAAGAAAATGCATTTTTAAAATTGACATATTGGGTTTCTGGAAGTAATTTTCACCCACCAGGATGTGGTAATATTTTTGTAACGTCATTCTGACTGTCCAGATTTTGTGTGGTTGTAGGCCCGTGTGCTCAGATTTAGGTGCACGTTAAAGAACCCCAGGTGGTCGAAATTTCCGGAGCTCTCCACTACGGCGTCTCTCATAATCGTATGGTGGTTTTGGGACGTTAAACACCACATATCAATCAGATTCTTTGTGCTAGCACATTGAGGAACCTGCAAGAAGAAAATGGGGAACCTACTTCGAGGCTTCTTTATAATTTGCCAGCACCTGTGTCTAAAGGTCTACTACCTATTCATAAGCACCTTTATGAGCATTGCAAAACATGCACATTGTGATTGGTGTTATCAGTTCCATTTTTCTCAGAAAAGTAAATTTGAGGCCTCAATATGTCTGCAGCTCGGGCAAGCACGACAATTCTTTTTGCAACAGAAACCTGTTAGTGTAGAATGCAAGTATGGAAGCAGAATTTGGAGCACAAGCCTTTTTAATTAAATACTCATCAAAATTGTAACACCATTCCAACAGCTTTTGGAAATGGAAAGTTCATTTTGCTGTAAGATAACCAAGAAAGACAAAAAAAACAAGCTCTTGCATACTTTCAATTTCTAGTCATTAGTATATGTTGCACTAACTTAATATCACTTTTAATTAAGTACTTTTTTTCTATGATGGCCTTAAACAAACTTTCTATGATGGCCTTAAACTTGCGTTGTCTCAGGAAAAAAAGTGATTACATGTTTGAAATCGGCAGTACAAACAGCATGAGCCTGTGCACTTTGATCAAGAACACTGAAGAAATAAAGAACAAAATGTTTAAGGTGCGTCTGCCCCCTTAAAAGAACATTCATTTTAAGTGGGGCCGTTATGTGAGCTCAACTGTAAAATTTTCTGGCAATTTAAGCTTGAAGCAATAACCTCTTTTAGTGTAGCCATTCAAAAATTATTCAGCAAATTGTTGCAGGGCCTTTTTAAAGCTTGTTTATAAGAAAAAAAATTTTACATATCGCAGATTAGTGTGAGAGCTTTCACTGTGTGCCATATGCAGTTCAGTTAGCCATTTTTTATGCGACCATTACCAGAGTACGCTTACTATTGAACCCTGTATTTTCTGTGCTGCATTTACATCAACTAGTGGAGCATGAGCCACAGTGAACTGCGGTTATTATACCCCCAATCATTTGTTTGTCAGCTTCTACTCTGCAGTTAAACGCGATTAGTATCCTCTGTTCTCATTGGCATACTTGTCAGATTAATTTGTGGCCGAGATAGCCTGTGGGGTCGATTCCCAGAAACATTCGTTCATCTGCAAAATATCAACAGCTGGGAATGTACAAAATGAATTCCGAAGTTTGCATTAGCCGACTCGATCGTGCCATTGACGTTACAGCTGCCATTTTTTTTTTTTCTTTTGCTGTGCTTGTTGCCGCAGTCTACATTTCTCGGCGGTTGGTTGCGAGTGCGTGGCCGTGGCGCATGCTTAGAAAATTTTACGTTTGGTGACATTGCAGTCCCGTTGACTATTCAAAAGGAATTCTTGATGTGGAAGTGTGTCACAGTTCTGTGTGCTGACGTGGTCAAGAGCTGCACATGCTAGGTGGCGACGGTTGCACCCAGCTTTTAGAGCTCTCTCAAACTGAAGCTGATCGGTAATGTGGTACCTGTAATTATCTGTCGCGTGCTATAGCAAACGATGTGTAGTGTCATGACTAACAGGCCCCCAGCAACATATCGCACCAGAAAAACGCGAGGCCAAAGTTTTTGTCAGTACCCCTTTAAAAGCAAACATGGCACTGTTGATGCATGTTGTTTGTCAAGAAGTATTATTTCTGCCGTCACATACTCCATGCTCCCAATGATGAATTCAATATCTTTTTACTCACGATGGTCTTCTGAAAACTATATGAGGACAAACATTGAATCTGAGTGAGCTTGGGGTTACGAAGGCAAGTATTTTTACAATGAAGCCGTGCTCATTTGTATTTCGATTGTGTGAGTTTACTATCTGCAGGGGTCCCATCAGGGGTCAACAGGTGATCGGTAAAATGGGCAATCGCTTGGAACTGTGGGATACGACGGCTTCCCGTTCGAAGCACTGCACGAG